AGTACAAAGAGTTTAGTAAAAGTAGATTTATAGAAGTGGTGAGAAGAGGAGCTTATTTAAGTGTATTGAGAAATGAGAGTATAGACAACCCATAAGCAAGTGTGGAATTAGGAGGAGAGTGATACAGGACAACTGTTAGAAGCCATTATGGGTTGACTTGTGTTCCCCAAAGAAGATATGTTGAAATTCTAATCCTCAGTACCTCAGAATGTGATCTTGTTTGGAAATTGTCATTGCAGATGTAATTAGTTAAGATGAGGACATACTGGAGTAGTATAGCCCTGAATCTAACATGATATGTGTCCTTATATGAAGAAAATTCCAAGTGAAGACAGACACACACAGGGAGACTGTCATGAGAAAGCAGAGGGAGAGATGAGAGTGATGCAGCAAATGCAACTTTGTAGGTTTAGAGAGAGAAGTTGAGGAAATTCCCATCTGATGCATTCTATTTATTCTGAAATGTAAGATATGGCATCTTTTACTGAGAGTGAGAAAATATATATGAAAAGATTGGAGGTTTGAGGGGAGTAAAGGAGTAGAGAAGAACAAATAACTCCCATGGTGAACAAGACAAATAACAGAGCAGGGAAACAGATTGGCAAGGATCATTGAAGGCCTATAGTGTTTATGTTGACTAATCAAACATTTACTGACCTACTCTATGCAAAGCACCTTTTCTAGGAGCTAGTGTTCCCACACTAAAGACAGGATATAAAATGATTTTACAAGCACCTCTCGAAATGAGCACTGAGAAAATGTTCCCTTCACACAAAAGCCTACCCACCTCTTGGAAGACTCTAAAATTAGAAAGGAAATCTCATACAAGATCTCAGCATTTATGAAGCTTGCATTTTCATTCGGGAGAAACAAAAGGCAAACCAAAAGGAAAACATAAAATGAAATTATTTATTGAATGAAAGAATTTCATTTAAACTAAATATTAATGAACTTATATCTTATTTGAATCTAGAAGCAGCTTGGCTAATAAAAGTAAATGGCAAATCTACCCTAGACAGGTCCCATCTATACATTCACCTGTACAGGACATGACTTTTACATGCCTATCACAAATCTCAGATGGACAAAGTAAACATAAGTATTCTTATATTTACTTATGTCCCAAAGATCATGATAATTTGCACCATGTCACTATGGCATTAGTTGACTGGGCAATGAATGTGCATCTGACTTAAAGGCAGCTACTGCTAACTGGCCTACAAGAGAGCTTGGCATGAGTGCAACCTTAGCTTTATTATCTACGTCGCTTCAAGTTCTATGTCTTAGCCTCAAGGTAGCAGAGTCTAGTCGTCCTTGGTTTAAATCTTAAATATTAAGGAAAGCTTTAATGTCCTTGGTTTCTTTCTCTCTTTTTTTTTTTGGTGGGTAACTAATAAGGTATATTTATTTCCACAGCTTCATATATTTACAGTTTTCTTTATATAATGCCTGAAGGGAGTTTCAGAGAAGATATTTTCTTTTAAACCTATGTTTTAAAATCACAAATATAGCTGACCCATACAGCCATATTCCACTTATTTTAATCCCTCCATTCCCATTAGAAACATTTTGTTAAAAGCTGAGGTTATCAAACCCATAGAAATTGAATTGTGAGAAGTATCATTACAGGAAAAAGAATGACAGCCTATGGTACAGGGGCTTATAGAAGAAAGATGATCTTCCAAAGCCCTAGTTTATTTCGGGAAGGAAGATTAAAGACATACGTTTATTAGAAAAGGAAGCTAAAGAATTAAAGATGGCAAGATTCTTTAAGTGGTTGAGGCTGACCTAGAAGCCTTTATCATGGCGCCATCACAGATCGCCATTTACGGTGCTGTTGGCAGAGCTTGATCAAAGAGCAAGGAGAAATGCACATTTGTGCTTTTCATTTTAGGGTGAGAGAGGCTGGACTTAGAAAGGACAGCTCACCTGCAGCCTGAACGTATGTTCTGTATCAAGTCCGGCAGTTACTCAGAAAGTTCAGGACACAGGGCCAACATTCTCCTGCTCATGCAGGATAAGCCACGCAAAGCAGCCCAGTTCAGAATGTCAGGGACATGCGCATGGCCAAGCTTACTAGTGCTGAGCCGCTTGTTCCTGGGAAATGGAGCTTGTTGTCTAACAAGCATCATTCCTGGTCATTAGAGCATAAGGAAAAAAGCTCTTCTTGGAAGGATGCAGGGGGTCTGCTGCTGGGGAAAAGCAACAGATAGCAAAGGACTCAATGCTGCAAGTCTTGATGGCAACAGTCCATATAGAGACTCCTAGAGTAAGTAAAAACAAACAGAGAAACAAACAAAAAATCTTCCATTTCATTTCTTGATATGGGGAGAGGGCTTCAGCAATGTTTAGGATTACTGGGAGTGTAACAGTAAAAAGATTAGACATGCAAAATGGGGAGTTAAATCCCAGAGCCCTTCCAGTTTGGGGAATCCAAACTGAGATTATTGATCCACTAAAATTTTCTTCACTTGCATTTGCCTTTTCAGTGGTAGGACTTATTGGAATTTGGGGATGGTTCTGCTGTGGTATTAAGTACTGTATAAAAACTCATCTTGGTATTGAGTTAGTACAGTGCCTTCCAGTGAATGGACTTAAGCCTACATTTCATTTTAATCAAAAACAAAAATTAGAAAATGTTACTCCCTAAATAGGCAACAATGCATTTTGTGAGCATTGCAGAGATTTAATAAATAGCATGTATGATTTAGAAATAACCCCTGATACTTAAGGGTTACTCAACACATGCAATGGACTCTTTCTCATTTTTTTAAATAAAATTTACCATCTTAACTATTTTTTTTAAAGATTTTTATTGTGGTATTGGGGGGAAGGGAACAGTGCTGGGGAATTGGGGGAAGGGGAACAGACAAATTGCTGTCATTTTGTTCTTCAGTCTAGTTGTGGAGGACGTTGCTTCACTGGCCCAAGTTGGCACCGTCATTGTGCGCTTCCTGGACATCAGTC